ATTTTAGTTTTTGCAATTTTTCGATTTACAATTTCTCGAATTTCCAATTTTTCATTTTTCAATTTTTTAATTATTTAATTTTTCATTTCTTCACATTTTTGAGTTGGAGTTCCTCGTTTTGGTTTTTTGTTTTCTTTATTTTTACAATTTTTCGATTTTCCAATGTTGCGATTTTAAAATTTATTGTTTCTTCAATTTCAACCTTTTTCAATTTTTCGTATCTTCGATTCTTTGATTTACAATTTTTCTGTTTCATTTTTTGCTTCTTCAATATTACGATATCCAACTCTTCGAGTTTTCAATTTTTAATTTTTCATTTTTTGGATTTTCCAAATTTGGATGTTTCAATTTGTAGATTTTGCATTTTTTTCTATTCGAAATTTCACAAGTTTTCAATTTTTAATTTTTTGATTTTTAGATTTTTCAGTTTTTCATTTCTTCGGTTTTGCATTTTCTTTAATATTTTCAATTTTTCGGTTTTTCGATGTTCTAATTTTATAATTTTTCTTTTTTCAATCTGAAAATTTTCAGTTTTACGTTTCTTCAATTTTAGTTTTGCAATTTTTCGATTTACAATTTCTCAATTCTTCAACTTTTCATTTATTTGTTCCTTCAGTTTTCCAATTTGCAATTTTTCGGGTTTTTAAGATTTTCAATTTTCCAGCATTTTAATTTTTCAATTTTAGATTTTGCTATTTTTCGATTTGAGTTTCTCAACTTTTCAACTCTTAATTTTGCAATTTCTCTGTTTTCATTTCAGATTTTTATTTTCTTTATTTTTTCAATTATTCGAGTTTTTAAAATTTCGGTGGTATAATTTTTTTGTCAATTATAATTTTTTCAGTTTTCCGTTTCATCACGTTTTCGATTTGGGATTTTTCCATTTTTTTGTTTCCTCAATTTCATCGAGTTTTCAATTTTTCATTTTTCAATTTTCCAATGTCCCGATTTTATAATTTTTTGTTTTTTCAATTCAACTTTTACAATTTTTCGTTTCTTCGATTCTTCGATTTACAATTTTTCAATGTTTCATTTTTTGTGTCTCTCAATTTTACGGTGAGTTTTCATTTTTCGATTTTCCAACTTTTGAATGTTTCAATTTTTTGATTTTGGATTTTTTCGATTCGAAATTTCACAAGTTTTCAGTTTTTGACTTTTCGATTTTTAGATTTTTCAGTTTTTCATTACTTCAGTTTTTCGATTCGCAATTTTTCGTTTCGGTTTAGTATTTTCTTTATTTTTACAATTTTTTCCATTTGCCAATGTTCCGATTTTGTAATTTTTGGTTTTTCAATTTTTCGTTTCTTCGATTCTTCGATTTACAATTTTCCAGTGTTTCATTTTTTTTTTGTTTCTTCAATTTTACGATATGCAACTCTTCGAGTTTTCATTTTTTAATTCCTCATTTTTTCGATTTTCCAACTTTTGGAAATTTCAATTTTTAGATTTTGCATTTTTTTCGATTCGAAAATTTTTTTTTGTTTTTTCAATTCCAACTTTTTCAGTTTTTCGTAACTGCGGTTATTAGATTTACAATTTTCCAATTTTTCATTTCTTCAGTTTTTCGATTCGTAATTTTTCCTTTCAGTTTTGTTTTTTATTTATTATTTTCAATTTTCCGGTTATAATTTCTCTTTTTTCAATGTGAAAATTTTTCGTTTGTTCAATTTTTGAATATATGTACTTAATAATGATTACAAATTTCAAAATTTTTCTCTTTGTCAATTATTAGATTTCAAAACTTTTTCATTTATTTAATTTTCCAGTTTTTCGATCTTTCAATTTTGATGATTCTATAATTTCTCGTTTCAATTCGATTTTTCTTCTTTTAAATTTTTAAATTTCTTGATTTTTAGTTTTTCAATGCTTCGATTTTTCAACTTTTCGAATCAAAATTGTGAAACTAAAAACACAAAAAAGAAATTACGAAAAAGTATATAATGAAAACTTTGAAAATCTAAAAACTAGAATCAAGAACTAGAAAAATTGAAACGAAAAATTGAAAAATTAGAAGATTAAAAATTTAGAGACTTAAAAAGCCAAAAAAAGAAATTTTGTAAAATTGAAATATTAAAAATTAAAGAATAAATATTTCAAGTAAATCCGAAAAATCCAAAATAAACCCAAAAAATTCCAATATATATCATTCAAAAAATATATTTAAAAAAATCCAAAAATTCCAAGTATATCCAAAAAATTCTAAAATATCGACAAACTCCAAAGAATCTAAAAAAAGCAAATTCCAACACAATTCAACAAATCCAAATGTTCCAAAAATTTCAAATAATTCCAAAAAAAATTAAAAGTTCCAAGTAAATAAAAAAAAATCTAAAACTATCTCAAAAATCCAAAAAATTTATAAAAGCCAAGAAAATCCAAATACTCCAAAAAATACAAAGAATCCAAAAAATTAAAATATTTAAAATAAAACCGAACACATCCAGAAAAACCCAGAAATCAATAAAATCAAGGAACATCCAACTATATATTTGAGATCAAAAAATCCAAATTTTCTAAAAATTTCAAGTAGGTACATCCAAAAAATCCAAAACATTCAAAGATTCCGGAAAAATCCAAAAATTCCAATACAATCCAAGAAAAATAAAAAAATACAAAAATTCCAGGTAAATACAAAAATTTGAATACAATAAAAAAAATTCAAAAAATCCAACAAAGCCAAAAGATAAAAAAATTCCAAAAATTTAAAAAATCCTAAAAACCAATCAAATCCGAAAAATCCAAAAGAAATTCAACAAATCCAAAAATCAAAAATATCTAAAAAATCTAAGTAATTCAAGACAATTCAAAAATTCCCAATACCCCAAATAAATCCCAAAATTGAAGAAATCAAAAAAATAAAACAAACCCAAATAATTCAAAACTTACAAAAAATTTAATACAAAAAATCCGACAAAGAATCAAGAAAACCCGAAAAAATCCAAAAAATCCAAATTTGTAAAATTCAAAAATTCAGAAATATGAGTAAAATCGACCAATTGAAAAATCAAAAATTGAAAATTTGAGGAATTGAATTTACGAAAAATTATAAAATGAAAAGAAACATTGATAAAACAAAGGAAATAAAAAACAAAACATTCTGATATAAAATAGAGAAAATTAAAGTAAAATTTTTTTTACGAAATTGAAAAATCGATGAACCAAAAAATTGAAAAATCGAAAGACGAAAAATTGAGAAACTGAAAAATCAAAACCAAAAAATTATAACATCGAAAAATTGAAAAAACGAAAAATTAAAAAATTTGGAAGTCGAGAAATTGAAAATTGAAAAAGTTAAAGTTGCGAAAACGAAAAATGATGAAACCGAAACATTGAAAAATTGAACAATTGACAATAATAAACACAATAAAAAAGGTTGAAGGTAAATAAATACAGATTTTTGGAAAAATTATAAGATTTGATTTTGCGAATTTTATTTTATTGATAAAAACTGAACACGAATTCATAAGGGATTTCACGAAAGATTATCTTATTGTATAAAATTGAAATAATATTGTTGGTGGAAATTTTTGTTAGCGTTTTATAATCTACACGATATTCGTAATAGTAATATTTCCGGAGATTATCTGTCTAATAAAAATTCGGACAGACGACAGATACACAGATGGAAACTCGATTACAATACTTCCTTAGCTCACGATTAGGAAGTAAAAAATGCATTAAAACACAGACACGGTAATTCCAAATATATGGAGAGTCAGTGAAAAACGAACAAATCGTTTTACGTGAACGACTGGTCCTTGACGTGAGCATTCATTGCAACTCTGCCAGCATTTTTCAAGGCAAGTTTAGTAGCTTTTTCTTCGATTTTTTAACCGGTTAATCCGGTAAAGATTAATTAAGTAATAGTTATTTATACAATTTCTTGCAGAGAAGCGTGACATGCATAGCACAAACCTCAGGAAATCCCCGCAAAAACGAACTTGTAATTTTTGATGAGACTTGCAAGATAAAGAAAGCGCTGACTGCGCTTCACTTTAAAGTTACAGAGGCAATTTACTATGAATTTATAGCTCCTTCTCTAATATCATCTTTCATTTTTGTTTGCAACTAAATCCTATTAAAACTTCTTTATTAAAACATAAAACGACGACATTTTTGAAACAGACTTTGTCGTCGAACTGGAGCGAATTTAAACCGTAAAAGGATTATCGTTCTCACGCCGGAGCTTACACTAATATTTTAAGGGAATAAAAATTGAGAAATAGCGAGCTTTTTAAAACGGAAGAAGTTTTTAGTTATTTCGGAGAGTTCTTTGTTAAGTAACAGTAAAAATGGAACCGGCGAAAGAATTCGCTGGGTATAATGTTAGTGCGTTCATTAATTTCACACAAAAAGGTGTTGACCTTCTTTTCCAAATATAATGAATTTTGAAATCTGGGTTTATTGCGCAACACCATGCTTTATGAGATGCAGTTCGGACCAACAGATGTTAAAACAATTATTTAAATTGGGGTGTTTTGACAGGTTTTGCAACTTTTACGGGGTCAACTGAAAATTACTCACAATAAACTTTCCTTACTTGTAAAGCATAACCCATTTCAGTATGTATTCAGTTTTCTGCGTATTTTGTTCCAAAATGTGAATTTTCTATACCCCTAAACACATATTTCTTCTAAAATCAATTTTCTTGATTTTTTGGTTCATGCTCTAGTCTCGCCAAAAACTCCTGATAACCATCCATTTCCTTGTAACAGCGGACAAAATAACCCATAAAATGCACAAACGGGCATGTCCATAAATTACAAGCGCGAGCAGAATATGAAATATGTAAAATTCATTCCACACTTCCCTCGCCTCCCCTACACAACAATCTTAATGTAGCTCGAAGCAGAAACAGAAACAGATACATGAAACCAATTTCCTCCTATGCATATAAATCGCGCAAAGAAAGCAACGCGCCCGGAATAATAGGGATTTTAAAAGGGGATGAAGCGAGCCAGGTGGCGCTGATATCGATTAATTGAAAAGAACACTCCTACCGTCTGTTTGTTGACGACTCTGGTGACAGCGCATCGATAAACATCCCTGAGGTCGAGTTCCAAGACAGCCAGAGTTCCCGAGGGACCCGCCGTGTGGGGCCTGCACGCTGGGTCGGGGTAGTCGCGCAAGCTTTCCAGGTAAACGTTCTTGGTGGATGGGGAAATGGGAATCTCTATCCTCATGGTTTCGGGGGTGCACTTCACTTTGGGGCTCACTGGAAAAATTAGAAAATAACGTAAGTCATTTGGTGAGAGAGGGTTTTTGTGATGACGTCGACGGTTTTTTGAAGAGATGGATGCAGGAGTGAAGAGTGAGGGGGTGCTTTGCTCAATTCAAACATAAATCCTGTTGGAAATTAAAGAGAAATTCGAAGTGTTTTGTTTTTATTTTGACGTTGTGTTCATTATTTCAATTATATATATCATTTCAATCAGTGTTTATAGCGAGAATGACTGTTTGTATAAAAATGTTCATCGTTATTTTGAGAAACTTATATAAAAACATCACAAAATGTTTAAAAATTGGGATGAATTATGGAATTGTCGTTAAACGACGTGCTATATTTCATTTAAATTATTTAAAAATATATTAGGATAAGGTCAAGAATTTTCTGGAATTATGTGTAGCCAAATTTTGGTTAATGTTTTAATGTTTCATTTGTTTTTAATATTTAGACACAATCAATCAGTTCAGGTCAAGTCAGGTTAGGTCACGTCAGGCCAGGTCAAATCAGGTCAGGACAGGTCAAGCCAGATCAGGACCTGAAGTCACATCAAGTCAGGTCAGGTCAAGTCAAATCAGGTCAGGGCAGGTCAAGTAAGCTCAAATCAAGTCAAATCAGGTAAGGTCTAGTCAAGTCAGACTAGGCCACGTATTTTTCAGGTCAATTATCGATTTATCAACTTTGGAATTTGCAATTTTTTTTATTTTTTGTAAGTTTGTTCCTTCTACCTATATTTAATCAATTTTAATTTTTTTAATTTTTCGAGTTTTTAATTTCGCTATTTTTAATTTTCGTTTTTTCAATTTTACGATTTTTCAATTTCCCGATTTTTCAGTTTATCTTAATTTTTTAGTTTTGCAATTTGAAATTTTTCGAGTGCTCAGCTTTTCCACTTTTGTAGTTATTTGATCTTCCAATCCCTCATTTATTTAATATTTCCATGTTTCAGTTTTTTTATTTTTCGATATCTTTTATTTTTGGGTTTTTCAATTTCCAGTTTCTCGCTTTTTAAATTTAAATTTTTCAATTTTTTGAATTGCATTTTTAGGTTTCTAGTTTCAAATTCAATTTTTGGACGTTGCAACTTGTGAATTCTTCAATATTTCAATTTTTATTTCATTGCTTCTTTTTTATTTGAAATTTTTAGATGTTAAAGTTTTCCATTTTTGTTCCTGGACCTTTAATTTTTCAATTTTTCGAATTTTCGTTTTTTCAGTTTTTCAATTTGCAATTTGTCGTGTACTCAATTTAAAATTTTTCACTTTTTCCATTTTTCAAGTTTTCGTTTATTTATTTATGCGATTTTACACTTTTAAAATTTTTCAATTTTTAGATTTTTTGACATGTAAATACATCCACATTTCGATGTTTCACTTTCGTAACTTTTGATTTTCGTATTTTTCAGTTTTCAGATTTTTTGATACATAATATTTAGATTTTTTAATTGCTCGATTCCATAATATATTAATTTTTCAGTTTTGCAATTTGAAATTTTTCGATTGTTCAACTTTTGGATTTCTGAGTTTCTTGATCTTCGAATTTCATTGTCTTTCGATTTTAGAGTTTTTTGATGTTTCAATTTTGTAGTTTCTCGATATTTAATTTTTCATTTTTGAAATTATTTGGTTTTTCAATTTTGCGATGATTCAATTGCTTGATTTTAGGTTTTTCAACTTGTTAATTTGTCGCCAGTTTTAAATTTCCCTATTTAAAATTTTCCATTTTTTCAATTTTTCAAATTTTCATTACTTCGACTTTCCCATTTTTGGATTTTTCAATTTCTGGCTTTTTAATTTTTTCTGGATTTTTCAGTTTTTTGATTTTTCAATTTCTAAAGACATACCTATTTCGATTTTTAATTTTCTTTCTATTTCGATTTTTTGATTTTTCAGTTTTTCGATTTTCGATGTTTCACTCTTGTTTCTGTTTCTGGTTTTTAATAGTTCAATTTTTCAATTTTTTGAATATTCAGTTTTTCTGTGTTGATTTTTCGCTTTTTCAGGTTTTCCATTTGCAATTTTTCTCTTTTTCGATTTTTCAAGTTTTCATTTATTCAATTATCCCATTCTACAATTTTTGGTTTCCTCAATTTTTCGATTTGCAGATTTGCAAATGTCCAGTTTTAAATTTTTCAATTTTTCGAGTTTTTAACCTTTGAACTTTCAAATTTTTCATTCTTTAATTTTTCGATTTTTCAATTTTCTTTTTTTCAATTTTACGATTTTTCAGTTTATCTCAAATTTTTAGTTTTGCAATCTGAAATTTTTCGAGTGCTCAGCTTTTGGATTTTTGTATTTTTTGATCTCCCTCATTTCTTTAATGTTTCCATGTTTCAGATTTTTGATTTTTCGATATTTTAATTGCACAATTTTTAATTTTTGAATTTTTCAATTTGTCAGTTTCTCGCTTTTTAAATTTAAATTTTTCAATTTTTGCATTTTTAAGTCTTTTAATTTTTACCTAGTTTTTCAGATTTTTGATATGCATTTTTCAAGTCTCCAGTTTTAAATTTTTCAATTTTTCGACGTTGCAACTTACGAATTTTTCAATATTTCAATTTTTATTTCATTTGTTCAATTTTTTTATTTGAAATTTTTGGATGTTACAGTTTTTTCCCTTTTGTTCCTGGACTTAATTTTTCAATTTTTGGAATTTTCAGTTTTCCGATTTTTAAATTTCCGCTTTTTCAGTTTTTCAATTTGCAGTTATTCGAGTACTAAATTAAAATTTTTCACTTTTGCATTTTCAAATTTTCATTTCATAATTCAGTTATTCCAGGTTACAATTTTTGGATTTTTCAATTTTTCGATTTGCAATTTTTCAAATGTTCTGTTTTAAATTTTTTAACTTTTAGATGTTTTTCTTTATAAATACATACATACATATTTGAATTTTTCAGTTTCTTAACTTTTAATTTTCGTGTTTTTCCGTTTTCCAATTTTTCAGTTTTGTATTTTGAAATTTTTCGATTGTTCAAATTTTGAATTTCTGAGTTTTTTGATTTTCCAATTTCATTAGCTTTTCGATTTTACAGTTTTTTGATGTTTTAATTTTTCATTTTTTAAATTATTTGGTTCTCCAATTTTACGATGATTCATTTGCTTGATTTTGAGTTTTTCAAGTTGTCAATTTGTCGCCAGTTTTAAATTTTTCAATTTTTCTATTTCAAATTTTTTACTTTTGCAATTTTTTAAATTTTCATTTCTTCAATTATTATTCGACTCTACCATTTTTGGATTTTTCAATTTTTCGCTTTTTAATACCTGGATTTTTCAATTTTTCGATCTGCAGTTTCACGATTTTTCAATTTCTAAATTTTTTTCGAATTTTAATTTTAGCTTTTTCAGTTTTTCGATTTTCCAGTTTTCCGAATTTTTAGAAGGTGTCTATTTCGATTTTTCAATTTTTCAGTTTCCCAATTTTTCGATGTTTCAATTACAAGATTTTTAATTTTTGAGTTTTTCAAATTGTCAGTTTTTGCTTTTTAAATTTTAATTTTTCAATTTTTTTATTTACATTTTTTAAGTCTCCCTTTTAAAATTTTTCCAATTTTCGACTTTGCAATTTGTGAACTTTTGAATATTTCAGTTTTTATTTCATTTCAATTTTTCGAATTGAAATTACATACATATTTAAATTTTTCCACGTTTCCCGAATTTTGAATTTTTCAATTTTTAAGTTTTCGCTTTTTCAGTTTTCGATTTAGAATTTTTCGAGTACCTACTCAATCTAAAATTTTTCACTTCTTCCATTCCCAAAATTTTCAAGTTTTCGTTTATTCCGTCATTCGATTTTACAATTTTTGGGTTTTTCAATTTTTCGATTTGCAATTACACACATATTTCGATTTTTCAGCTTCTCAACTTACAATTTTGACGTTTTTCAGTTTTATGATTTTTGGTACATAATACTTATATTTTTTAATTGCTCGATTCCTAATGTCTCTATTTTTTGCAATTTGAAATTTTACGACTGTTCAACTTTTGAATTTCTTAGTTTCTTGATCTTCTAGTTCTTTATTTCATTAACTTTTCGATTTCACAGTTTTTGTTTTTCCAATTCTTCATTTCATTTCTTCAATTTTTCGATTTGAAATTTTTCTAAGTTACGGCTTTTTGTCATTTTACTGTTTCTGGATTTTTAATATTTAAATATTTCAATTTTTTAGAATATTCAGCTTCCGATTTTTAAAATTTTCCTTTTTCAGATTTTCGATTTGCAATTTTCCTGTTGTCCATTTTTGAAGTTTTCATTTGTTCAATTATCCGATTCTACAATTTTTGGTTTGTTCAATTTTTCGATTTGCAGATTTTCAAATGTTCAGTTTTAGATTTTTCAATTTTTCAATTTTGAATTTCCGTTTCTTAAACATTGTTTTTTCAGTTTCCTGATTTTTCAGTTTGTCAATTTTTGAAATTTTCCAGTGTTTCCACCTTGCAACTTGTGAATTTTTCAAGATTTCAATTTTTCTTTTCATTTCTTCAATTTTTCGATTTGAAATTTTCTGATGTCACCGTTTTTCCATTTTTCTGTTCCTGGATTTTTAATTTTTCAATTCTTCAATTTTTTAAATATTCAGTTTTCCGAGTTCTAAGTTTTCGAGTTTTCAGTTTTTCGATTTGCAATTTTTCGAATACTCAATCTAAAATTTTTCACTTTTTTCATTTATTCAATTATTGGATTTTACAATTTTTGGATATTTTAATTTTTCGATTTGCAATTTTTCAAATGTTTAGTTTTAATTTTTCAATTTTTAGATTTTTTAACTTCTATTAAATACACACTTATTTCGATTTTCTAGTTTCTTAACGTTTGATTTTCGTGTTTTCAATTTTCGGATATTTTGGTACATAATATGTTTTGTAAATTATTAGGTTTTTCAATTTTTCGATGATTCATTTGCTTGATTTTGGGTTTTTCAACTTGTCAATTTGTCGCCAGTTTGAAATTGGTCAATTTTTCGACTTTGCAACTTGTGAACTTTTCGATTT